TCTGATCAACACTGAAACATTGCAGTCACGTTTGAGGTAGAACTTTTCATATTATTGATCGAGTTCAACGAAAGAGGCATCTGGTTGATCCACGATTCCCGGTGAACCTCTAGTCCACACTGGCTTCCTCAGCGAGGGACAGTAGCTTCATTAGCAATTGTCTGGCGTTCCCATTTTCACAACTCCATTCAACGGTCCCGTTCTTCGATTCTTTCGTTTATCTATGGCGACCGAAAGTTACCAGTCACACTTCTCAGATTTATGATCCCAGATACTGAAGTTCTACTTTCTACAGTTCATTCGTATAAGGACTTTCTCGTTTCGAAATCAAGATTTAGAAATTTATGTTAACTGGAATGTTTTTTTCGCGTAAGCTCATCAAAGTATGTCTTGGACCAAGGGAGTTACCTCTGTTTTGTAAACCACTTCATATGATAAGTAGTATAGGCTGTTGAACNGGAAGGACCAAGCTAAATCAATGAGACCACATGCAGTTCCTAAGACAGAACATTCCCGATTCAATAAGTTAGGGTTTGAGAAAAAACTCAAATTACAAGGTGAATTGTTATGCGTGGAAACGGTTTGATCATCGTGGAGAGAAAGGAACCGGTAACGGACGGAACGGATAGAACAGGAGAGGCCGAATGAAAAACAACATCACACTGATCAAGTGATACTCGGGTCTCGGCAGCTGGCACTATCCAGCCTCCGAAAGCCTCCGTATGGTCGGGGATTGGTGCTTCGAGTTACGGCTGGTTAACTTCGCCCTTGCACCTCGCGAAAAGATCCCATACGATCAGGCGTCTCTCAAGCAGCCTCTGCCAAGGAAGAAATGACTGCTGCCTTACGGTGGCGGAGGTGCTTTCCCCCATTAAAGTGAGAGGACGAAAAGCCAGTATCCGGGGCTAAAACTCGGTAGGTGACTGTTTGGCAGCCCACCTAGAGGAGTTAGCTAAAAAAATCCCTGGTCTCAAACGAATCAAGAAGAGGCGTGTGAACCACGCACACACCTTTCTGGTTGTGGCGGTGGTCACCGGCTCGATTAAGCATCGAGGTGTACTAAGCACTTTAAACATTTGACCCCGTCCAAAAGGCGTGTGATCCGAAGAACTGGACACCGGCCCCCAGTGGATTGCAGCTTTTGCACACCGCCCAGCTGCCTTGCGCGTCAGGCTTTGGCTAGCAGGTACCCCGGTTGCGAACTCCATCATAAAGTTCATTTACTTTGGCCTGAGCAACCTAGCGGTATCGCGCCCTCGAGCAAAGTATAAACCGTTAATTTGAACTCATACATGTGTGAAAATAAATAAATGAGTTTTGCTAAATGAGACGGAAAACCGTGAATGAATAGCTGCCGAGTGGAACATGGAAAAATGGTTTGTTCTATAGATTCTGCAAAAAGCTTCCTTCGACGACGACTTTGTGTGACATCATGAGTTCGTACAAGTAAGATTCAATCGGATAGGACACTGAACAGAGCAACTGACCGGCTCATTCTATCAAGCGATTGATTCTGATAAGTAACTCATACCAATTGTTTAAGTTACTCATTACATGACGATGAAAAAGACATTGTTAGGAAATCGCCATTTTCCCTGGGAAGTAATTTGACACAATCGAGACTGTAAACGGCATGCTGTCATCAGGGAACTTACGTTTCCGGTTAATTGGAGGATCCGGACTTCTACTGGATTCACTGGTGGAATTACGATGTCGTGAACCGCTATGACGTGAAACAGTCATTGGTTGTTGCAATGCCTGTGGATCACAATAATCGGATCGATGCTCTCTAAACAGACGTCCAGAGGGACGCAGTTTAGGCGAACGAAGAATGGGTGAGTTTCCCCCTTGCGGATAGGCTGAACGACGTGGGCCACGAGTTGTAGATGAATGAGGGGCCTGAAGCATAAACTCAGGCACATCTGTCGCTCCAGGAACATAAGCCTCTTCTGATGAAGACCCTGAGTCGTACCGGGTAAACGGTGCAGGATTGTACGCTTCGGAATCCCGATGCAGTCGGTGCGGAATGTCCAGATCCCGAGAACTACGTCTCGGATGTTCCGAAGGCTGCCGCCCACCTTGATGTCGATGAGCCATGAAGTATTCCTTCAATTTGGATGGACCTGTTGTATCCCCAAGCTTCGGAGATGAACCGTCCGAAACGGGAGAAGTGGAGAGGGGAGAATGTGGATAGCGTGCTTGATTATCCGAGCGATGATGCCCATGGTAGTATTGCTGGTAGTGGTGATGCGGATCTCGTGCACTGTGGTTGCATGTATCACGCGGCTGTTTGTTCGCCGCTATCTCATCCTCGTCTGAGACATCGTCCAATTCCAGCTGGACGCCATTCCATATCACGTGTGTGGCCGAAGCAGCCTGGCCTTCATTTATGACCGGATCACGCTGCAAGCTTGTCTGCGTATACAACTGATTGTTCAAAATAGGACTCGAAGTTTCAGCATCCACAGGACTGAGCGAATTTGTAGATTCTTGGGGAAACGAACGGGGTGGCGAGGGACAGAAAATGAGTAGGCAACATCGGTTTGGTCAGCTTATGAACAGATTTTTCTGCTTCTTCAACGTGAATTCCTTATTGGATCAAAAAACAGAAACAAACATAACGAAACGAAAAATGACTATTTCACATGTTAATGCACTTCACATGAAAATCTGATCGTGGGTATGAGCGGGACACATGAAATATAAACCAGTTTCTATGAGTCACAAACGGGGTTCGACGAGACGGGGCGGGGAGCAGTGAACCTTGTACAAAATGGACAGGCAGCACGAGGACATTCGCGTAACACAACAGTAGAGGATTTTACAATGAATCTCGATAGCGGGAACACAAACAGCAGGAAAACAATCGGAGTCGGATGATGGTTTTTGTGAGGAAGACAGTTGTCGCTATCCTCATTCTTTTACGCATCAAAGTGAAACTGAAGCAGAAGAGTGCATCTCATTAGATTGGGTTTAGAAACAGAACGGCTGTGGGCATTCAGATTGAAAGTACAAATATGCAGGGCACGAATGAAAGTGGCTGATCGGTAGAACAGGCTTGTAATCGGGTGACCTTAATGGTAGATAGTGTTCTCACATGGAGTAAGAGCTTATAACAAAACCGTTTAGTTGCACGCGTTCCGCTTTCTTCCTTCACTTTTCAGGTTGAACAACTACCAACTATCCACTAATCGTGCGGCGGTTTTGTTTGATGCCCCAGAGATGCTCATTAAGAGGTGCGGGAAGATTAGAAGACGGAAAGCAGCATCACGGTGGTGGTCCGGTGGTAACGTCACCAAATTATCGCCCCGGGGATGTGTTCGAATCGCACTACCACCGCCTAACTTTACCCGTTGTTTGTTGAATGGCAGCCCTTTGATTGGCCACTTCCCCCTTCCTGAAAACAGTATCTTCGTATATTCATTAAAGGAAGCAAGATGAAAAGAAAATTCAATTAAATTTGATTACACTAGAGTAAAGTTACGAGACTATTGAGATGATGCACGAGCGCCTATGTTTGCGACATTCAGCCCTATCGGTAAGTGTTCTTAACTATCAATTACAACTATTCCGAGGTTCCCCCACCTACCCACCTAAGAAACCTAACGAGAGTTATGCCAGCAAATCTCTTGCGCTCAGGGTTTTCACACCCCGTGCTAGTTCTGAGTTTGACCAGCCATGGCGTCTTTTTCCACTCATCGCTTGCCTCGGCAAAAATCACGCGCCGTGTCGTACGCAACACATGTCCCAAATAGCGTAATTGATGGAAGTCAATCACTTGCTCCAGGAATCGACAGCGATTACCTAAAACTCTACGCCTTACCTCAGCGTTGCTCGTCCGGTTTCCCCACCAGATTCGTGCGATGCGCAGACAGCGATGTTCGAATACCGACAATCTATTTTTATCCCGTTCCCGTAATGGCCAACTCTCTGCAACATAAAGCAGGACTGGCCGAACTGCTGCAGCATATACTCGACCGTTCACAGATAACCGGATGTCGCGACGGCGCCACAGATGTCTCAAGCTGGTTAATGCCAACCGATCCTCTTTATGCATGCCGACACTTCATCTGTGATGTGTCCGCCAGGTGAGATATAGCTACCCAGATAGCAAAACTTGTCTACTT